CACTTCCACTCGTACCGTACCTGCCCCTCCCTTCTTCCGCCCAAAACACACACACACAACACACGGCAAACCGCAACGCAACCGAAAGTTAGGTTCTCAGTCCGTCCGGTCTCTCTGTTTCACTCTTTCTTTACCCGCTTGCTCGTTTCAAATGGGTCAGCCATGTTTGTGTTGCGGTTAATACAGGTATATATACATATATATATACTATGTGTGCTTAACACGGTTTTTTGCATGTATTTTCCGTATAGCCGTTGGCAATTTGCATCGTAGCCAACATCTCGAGATGGGAGTCGTTTGATATTCTAATTGTAAGCGGCTGCTGCTGTTGCCCCTAATGAAGTCACCCATTTCTCGGGGTTCGGGGTTCGGGGTCCCTCAGCTCTTTCGTTTGATTAATGTGCCCGCACACACAGGTACTCGTATGTGGAGCAACCTAATTTGTCTGAAGAATGAATTGATCCATAGGCGGCAGCGAATAATCAGATATTAGTCTTGCCTTGCCCAAAAATTAAACGGCCAATTAACATTTAATTTTCGAATTTCAACTTGGGCGCAATTTAACGCACAGTTACGCGCTTTTTTCATACCCTTCCTTTAATGTCTTAACAAACCTTTTTTTTCGGCTTTTCCCAACAATTTTGCTCGAGCAGAAAGCTGTAAAACTTAAGCATGCATTTCAAAACGGCTCTCTTTGTTTTTGCATACTCGCGTTGACTATTTAAAAACAAATAAATTACGTTGGCTGTTCGAGGGAAAATGGCAGCACGCGAGGTCACTTTGCCGCCACATTAGCAGGGCACTCCACACACACACACATCAACGAAAATGCAATTGTTTAAACAAAATAAAAGTAAAACACTACACAATGTTGGCTCTTCGCTGGCACGCAAAACACACACTTAATTTATTCAGTTGCACGGACCATTTTGTTGGTTTTTACCTCGTATTTGTTTACGTTTTTGTTGCTTGTTTGATCTCCGAAATGTGTGTCAAATGGATTCAAATCGACACAAAATATCCGTTGCAGTTGAGTGCACACGCACAAGCACGCATGCTTTGTGGGGATCGGAGAGAATAGTCAATGAATCATGGCACCGGTAAAGGAATTACGTACATCATTTCCATTCTGAAGTTGTTATTCATTTCCATGAGGAGAATACAAATGGAAGAAGGAACTTCAATTTCCTGTCTCAGTCGATTGTAATTCAATCATTTCATTGCTGAGCTGATCCCAAGAGTCGTGAAAGTTGTACTATTGATCCAATTTGTTGCAATTTCCCTTATCGCCGACGAACGTAATTGAAGGTCAGACAGAGCTCTGCTCTCCCATTTCCAATGGCACTTTGGCATTACTTTTTGTTGTAGTAGTTTTTTTTCCCCCGAACTGGGTAACGAGAGCAGATGCCAATCAAAGTCATTATTCATAATATTCGTTGGCGTGCTTAGCCGCATTTTCCAGCTCATTTTTTGTTGTTGCGTTGCCTGCATGAGCTGCGTTTTCAATTTGGAGTTTTTTTTTCCACCGCTCTGTGTCTCTGCTAGAGCAGGTTGCGTCATTTTTGCTAATTTTAGCTAATTTATTGCAATGCCAATGGAAGTACCGAGTCTGTATTGCCATTGTGGGTTGGGATGGGATGGGATGTGAGGTTGTTGCTGGCGTCAGTTGGCAATTTGCATTCAGCTTTGAGCGACGATCCAATCCGATCCGATCCGCTCCACTCCGAGCCGCGATCTCAATCTGTATTGAAACATTGGCTTACTGTTGAGGAAGTGTGGGCCTCCCAGCAGTGACAAATTGGTGATTGTTGATTAATGTGTGTGTGTGTGTGTGTGTGTGTGTTCAGTGCATATTTTTAACAATTTATCATTTCCATAAGATAACTATTGACCCAGTTGCAAGCTTCTCCCCTCCCCAATTTCAATAACAAAACAAACCCCTCAAAGAGATTACAGCTCTTGGATAATAACTGATCCAGACGCAGAGCTGCAGTCGAGTGCGGGCCGTGTGACATCATTTCTGGCTGCGTTGCCGTGAAATGAATGAAATGTGTTGGCAGCAGTAGCTGCAACAACAAATTATTGCCTCCTCCGGCCATTATCGCCTTGCCTGTTGGCCATCAACGTAAGCCGCATGTTGTTGTTTTGGGTCGCCCCAGAGATAATCATCTAACTGGCAACAGCGGAGGTGATTTTGATGTGGATGTGTCTTCCTGGCCATGACTCGCACCCAATGTTCTCACACAACTGGGTCCGTGTGTCCGTTTGCAGGAAGCTGAAAAGTGCTTATCATGAGTGCAGCGTGCCCGGTTGGTTATTGATATGTGTTTAATTCCCCGTAATATGTACCCCCAGACCAACCAACCTCTGCTTCTGTTTGTGTTGTAATAGCGGAAATCACAGTCATGCCACAATGAGTCCCCGGCATGAGTTGCACTGACGGATGTTTGTCTATCTTCGGCTCAGTTGTGGGGGGTACTTGAAGATGCTTCTGGGCACTGGCCTCCAGCATCACCTCCTCCTCCTTCCCAGCCTCTGTTTAACCGTTGTACACAATTTATGCCGATGTTAACCCATTTGCAAGATCCGCGCACGCGATGCTGGTTCCATTGGAGCCGAATTTCGGCTGGGCTGTTGACTTGACCCAATTGGCAAACAGAAAGTTTGCCCGCCGGCAACGAGCCCAAGCGAAACCCAACAAAAATTCATTGCAGAACCGCTGTACGAGTTGTATGTTGTATGATTTAGCATAATCGGATTGATATACGTGTATTGTGGGTGTGAAACCGGTTATCACGGATATCTCTAGAGTCTTGAGCACCACATTAATCTCCGTCTTTCTCTCACCTTTTCAGCTCGCACCATGAAGTCGGGCACACAAATGGACGTACTGTACACGGCGCTGCACTTAATCGTAAGTATTATCCAGGGTCCAAAATCCGTAGCCTCATTCTGGGCCCATTGAAATGGAAAATTGGCAGACCAGGCCAGGCAGAGAGCCGAGAGACCGAGCAGCAGCTAAACACATCAATCAGCCAGAACCCCGAATGACAATTGCATGCCAATGCGATTAACCTGGATATGAGGTGGCCAGAGACGGACCGCCAGCCGGCCAGTCCCGACCCGACTCTCTCTCCGTATGCTAAACGCGATTCGGTCGCTCCTGCTCGCTCGCGCCTGTTGCCAAGTTGCCAAAAGTGGCACAACACTGGACCCATGCCTAGCTCCGCTTGATTCTGAGCCGCTTGGCCCCGACTCAACCCCAGCTCCAGAGTCGACTTTGACTGTATTCAGGTTCAACTCTAACCCAGCGCAAGAGGCTGGCGAAAGTTTTCGCCATCCGCAACTGCAAGGCAGCCTTAGAATCGTGAGAATATAATGTTTCCCCATATCTGCCTGCAACACGAAAACGAAATTTCTGCTGCATTTCTATCCACTTTAATTAAAGAAGCTTACCTACTGCCGGGTCTTGGCCGGATCAGGCTGGGGCTTACTGTCGGCTTGCCGTGATTTACGTCGACGCTTTATGGCCGGCCTGCCACGGGGTCTGAGCAGGAGACCGGGGGTCAGGCTACTACTATCCCAACTATGCTAATGAGTGTCTTGTCTCCACTTTCTTTGCAGACAATCGCAGCTCTGACGACGCACGCAGCACAGATACCAACGGCAGTCAGTGAGTACAGACAAATCTATCCATTTATAAGTCTTGATAAGTTCTATTGACTCCAAATCCTGAATTATGGGAAAGCTGCTGCTTGTTCACCCATTGGTTGAACAGATATCTGGAAACGAATACATAAATCATTAAGCTGGAATCTTAAGTGTTCAAATGAGCTCTACAAGTATTACCTAATTAGTTATAAGCACAGCACCACTCGGCTTAAAAGACCGCATTCCTCTTTAATCTGCCATTGTTGTTCGGTAAAGAAACAGCGTTGGGTTTTTCGTGGTGTTTTGTCTTTGCCGTTTGTTTGGTTGCTAAATCTCTTGACTGTTGGCCAAAAGTGTTGCCAGCACCAGGCACATAATCGCATGGCAAACAAGAGTCCATTCATGTGGCGCCTTAAGCTGCCTTATTGAAAAGCGACAGCAAACATTGCGGCATGCTTCCTTTCGGCTTCGTAATACGGCTGTATCCCCTAGATGGCCGACTCCAGCGACTCCAGATAGTTGAGGACCAGCTGGTAGGTGAGCCTGTGGTTAGCACGGCTCCTGCTGCTCGAAACGGGACGGCAGCCTGCGGGATCGTTGCGTCCGGGTCAAAGTGCTTGGTGGAAGCATGCCTGGAACGATAATAGAATTGTGAGGACTGGCGATGCTGGTTGGGTTTCTACACTTCATGAAGTGTAGTCTCCCATTCCGAGAGTCCAGCGTCTTCTATTCGGTTTGCATAAAACTGAGGAGACGGCATCGGGAGCTGGCTGGCCAAGGCGAACGCATTTCATCATCTTCATCGTGTGGCAGCTTCCGCTTGGGCCAGTCGTGGTAGAGCCAGCGGATTACTGGCATAAATTTCTAGTGGGAGCAGAGATCAATGATCAGTTGGGGCTGACCTCAATCTCGCTGTTGACTCCCACATTATCCATTCTGAGGATTTTAACGAAGTCACAAATCCGAACGAGCATCAGAGTCGGCAATGCGGAAATGTTCCTATCACGAAAGAGCTCTTCAGAACCGATTTAATTTGATTTAATGTGGAACAAATCCGTTCTGTCCATTCCACGTCTGCCATTTTCTTTTCCTTTTTGTTTATTTCTCCGCCAATCCCTTGGAAAACACGAGCGAAACAAGGACAGCAATACTTCGAGCTTAGTGAATATTGCCAGCGCTGCTCATTTGCTCATAAAAGCGCGCAGTTTACTCATTTGAGCTCTTTCTTGTTCTTGTTACATTTGAGATCTGCGCTTGGTAATGCAGTTCTTCTCCTCAAATTATACATAATAGAAAGCCATTAAATGTTTTATGCGCTGGCCGCAGTCAGCAGCAGGAGAGGAGGCTCCATAAAAACCGGCTCCAGCCACGACAGCGACGACGTGGCCGTGTTGCATGCAATTACTTTGCCCAGCACATGCTGGAATAGAACAGAACGGAGGCAAGTGATGCGAAATGCTGTAAGGTTCGTTGAACCACAGTGGAGGCATCACATCGCCTCGCATCCCATCCAAAGTGTACACACAGCCAACTGGCAGGGCGAACGTGCCGCAGCGGAGCAGAGCTCTTCCTCGGACCAGTTGTGTACCTTCTGATGGGCCACGAAAGAGTGCAAAAAGAAGAGCCCAAGCATGCGAGCCCGGGAGGTGGAGGTGTCAGAGCAACAACTCAGCATGGAGTTCTTGGCAATGCAATGGCTTTCTGGTCTGGTTTGGTCTGTTTTGGCTTTGGCTTTGGCTGGGATTCGTGAGCGCTGGCATCGAGCAGGAAATGCCAAGAGCAGAGCCCAACCTAATCCCAGGCCATGTCTGCTGAAGTTCAAGGAACTTGCCATCTTTCTAATGGCCGCGGATCAGGCCAGGCCCACAAGCGCTTCTGTGCTGTGTCTTCCCCCCGGTGAGTTGGCGCTGTTGTTGCCGCTTCAATGGCTTTTCAATGTCATGAACGTACCGTTGTTGTCGCTGGTTGTTGGCTCTTCCGCATGCTGGCATAGCTTGGAGCGCACTGCGGCTCCAACCTCCACTAAATACTGCTCCCATGGGCATCTGTTGTGCCATTGTCTTGGGTTTTTTTTGTGCGCTCATGTCTTGTGCTAACGGCTCTTGAGGTTGGTTCAGCGCTGAAGAGAAGCAGCTGATGCTGATGCAACTGCAACCGCATCCTCATCCACATCTAACTGTAGTTTGCCAGCTGCACAAACATTCCATTTTGGGAGCGTGCCTGTCATGTTTATCTGAGACTTCATTGCATTTCATAATTTCCTTTTTTTCGCTTGCAGAGGATGCACAGAGCTCGCTAAGCGACGCCATTGCGGCAGCCGAGGCGGAGTCCGATGGGGGCTCACCCACCTCCAAGTCTGCCATCGAGCCGACCGTGCGCATAAAGTGCCTATCGGGGTCCATGCTGATCACAATCAAAGATGCCCCGCCAAACCACGAGACCGGACTGTTCAGTGGCATGATCTACCCGAAAGGCCTATCCAAGAACTCCACATGCCTCAGCGAGTACAGGTGAGTGAGAGCCGCGTGCAGATCACAATTTAGATTAGATCGTTGTAATTGCTAACGCTTTTGTCGTCCCCCGCAGAGATCACGTGGGCTCGCTGCGGTACAAGCTGCCTCTGCGTAGCTGCAACACGATGCCCAAGGAGACGGTAAGTCACAGCCGATAGCCTAGAACGGAGATGGGTCTTCCATAATGGGTGCCAATCAGCCAGCAGACCAGACTCTAACTTGCTCTCCCACTCAAGCAGATGTCCACGCAAACTCGTTCTGCCTTTTTCGCATGCAAATAAAAAAGCATTACACCTATAAGGCAACTCCGAGTCATTGGTTACAAGGTAAAATCCATATGCCAAGATGATTAGTCAATTGAAAGGTTGATGTGACGCTCAACACACGCACTCAGTGACTAAGCTAATGGTGGCTGGATCGCTTGTACAGCGTCGAGACTTGTTAACTAAAATAGCAGTCATTGGGCACGGCAGATGGCACGAAGAACCTAATGGATATGGCATCATCATTTTATATTAATTCTTAAGGCCTTTAAAAAAACTATCATGTGAAGCTAGATTTCTTGAGATGTCATAACATAAAATCCGATCAAGCGTACTATTGATCAGCACAGCCCGAGCGAGCGTGAAAACCGGCCTGCCATGTCCCTGTAAACGATATCGAATGATCCCAAAGACGGCCCAGATGTGCCATATATATTTCAGTCAGAGTTTGTCCAGCTAGCTCTAATGCTTTTATGGCTTGGCTTATTTATTGGCTCATTCGATCGATTCATTCGATCACACAACGAACTGCCTTTGTGCTGGGATCTGCTGGGATTTTGAAATCTCAATTAGCACTTGGCCCGGCTAAATGAGGCTGCAGCTCACGCATCAGCAGCACAGCAGAGGCATGTTTATGGTCTATACCTGAAGCTGGAGCGAGAGCAGAGCAACAGCCACAGCCTCACACGCTTATAAAGTCCGTTTGTGATACATGTTTAATGTAATTTTCCCAGCATTTATGGGGCCAGCATTTTGTAATTTACTGCTGCTATTGCAGCTTCGACTGCTTTTTCCTTTCGCTCGATTGGATTGACACAATTTTTGAAATTGCAAATGTTAATTGCAGTTACGACAAGCGGATCGATTCGAGCGATGTGGCAATGCATCACAGTGTGCGCTAGAAGACTGGTATATACTTTCCACACGCACTGTACCTAGCTGGCATGTTCTTTGGGACTGCGACCCGAGTCTCTGTCTCTGGTGTTGTCATTGCTTTGTCCTTGGCCAAGCCGCCTTCCCGTATTGACTCAAACAATTTGCGCAGAGCATTCAATAAGCCAGAATCGATAAGATAAACAAGGTACAAAAACTGTTTGCCACGGACCAACAGCAGGAAAATCAACAGACGCAGTCAAGGCTGGACTCAAGATATGTACTTTTTAATGTTTGTCATTAAAGACGATGAGCGGCTCTGAGCCAGCATGCGCTCGGCTAATGGCCACCGCTTGGCTGGCATCCTGCCTGTCTTACGTCATCTCTGCTGAGACGATGAGCTCAGCTTTCCAAGTGCAAGATGAGGGATGGCGAAGAGTCGCGTGACAACTTGCCACAGCGCTGCCATTGACTGGTGACTGCCACCCCGAACTGAGGGTCGGGGCCCAGACGATCCGTGCTGTGCGCTGTGCGCATGTCAGGCATAATTAAATCAGCTACGAGCAGGTGGCCTCACAGGGCTGTGGGAGGAGGGGCTCTGAAGAGAGAAAAATAATTTTAATTAAAATTTGATTACCGCCAAGACGATGAGCTCTCCGACACCGTCGCCAGCTCAGAACTACAATTTCATTGCCAGCTTACGAGTACTCTCGTACACACATCAAATCACAATTTCTCATGGCCCAGCAAGTAGCGATCCAATTAGGGACCCCTCCCCACCATCATCTTCCCGGTCGAAATCAATTTGTTCTGACGCTGGCAACGTTGGCGGTCGGCAGTGCGGCGTTCATTGGCCGCCAATGCCGCTGGCTAGATGGCCGTGAAAAGGCCAAAAGTGTTCAACGACATGTAAGCGTTTTATGGCTGTTATTGATATTATAATGCGGCTGCTGCTGCCGTGTTTGGAGTGAAGGTCAGTTGGTCGGACGGAGGCAACTCCCACGCATTCCAGCTTGAACCTGTTTATTCAGGCCGAAATATCTTACAGCTCATCGGGCATTTACATCCATATATTGTTCGCGTTCGCTTCCAAAACGCTCACATCCATGGCTGTCTTGTGGAGCGGTGGAAAAGTGTCATAATGACATAATAGCTCTTTCTACCGTTAGATTCTTTTGACGCTTGTGCTTGAAATCTTAAATGTCATTTTATTATGCTTTTTATTGGCCCATTGTCTTGTTGACGCGCTGCTGGTGATGATGCCGCGATGCTGAGAACTTATACTTATTCGTAAACCTAACTGTCAACGGTTCTTGGTTCTTAGAGGCTAAAAGAAGCCCGCACACATCTCTCCGCTCCCCATCTCCGTCTCTGTCTCTGTCTCACAGCTTGTTTTAAGCCAGACAATGGCAGCGACGGAAACGCTTCAGAACCAGCGTTGGGCAATAAATCGCATGGGGTCGGACTTAGCCGGCTTCTTAATGCCTTTCGAAACAACGCTACCAATTAAGAGTGCCCCCTGTCAGAGCCCACTTAAATGAAGAACTTCCGTGCCCAAATCTGTAGAGGCCCAATTACAGAACTTCCGAGCCCCTCTTCGTTGTTTGCCATTACCTTACGATGAAGTGTATGTACCGTCGCTATCGAGTATGTGTACTCGATTTGTTGGTGTGGTGTGGCGTTGTCAGTGGAATTAGCACAAGAACCAATGGGCAAATGGGCAATGGGCAACAACCGTTAACTGCGGACAGAGGAATCTACCAGGGATGGAAGCATAAAAAACCAAAGTTGGATGCCCTATTGCCTACGAAATGGCAATATTTCGGGTCCAGACAGCGGAAGTATATTCACGCCCATTGCAATCACAATTGCATCATGCCAGGGCCCACAACTTAAATTCATCACGCAAAACGTTGCCAATTTTCGAGGAGATAAGGCCCGCAGATCTCGTGTCTTGGGCCTGGCGGCGAGATGTCACACTTGGTTGATCGGCTCTAGCACCATTCTATGACAACATCAGGAAGTGCTCCGCAGCCCACAGTCTACGTATTGTTTGTCTTGGATCGCACATTAACTTCTGGCTGGCGAGGCTCCAAAGCGATTTCTGGCTGCAGCGGAGCGTGAATCTGAATGCATAATGAGAAGGGGCTGTGCTTGGTAGCTGGTGTTCTCCAGTCACTGATATGGCTTCTTGACAACAGCCGGCGCGCTGGCCAATGAGAGATTCAGTACAAGTTTCTAATGTTTCGTTTGCCAGCGAGTTTGCTGTCCAAGTCTTTTGTCTTGGGTGATTTTCACTTAAATGCAAGAAAAACTGGCTTATACCCTGGGAACTGATCTACACATAAAAGTTCCATTTTCCATCAATAATTTGATTATATTTCCTTTCTAGGATGATGGCGGCATTGAATTCTTCAACACAATCGTGCTCCAGCCTCACTTGAAGCTCATCACTGATCTGGGCCGTGGCTATCATGTGCGCTGTGCCTATAAAAGCCGAGACGCAGCCATCAAGCCCAAGAAGCATCTGCGCAAGCACTCTCAAAAACCCCAGGCCTTGCGCAGCGAGGATCGCCGGGACTATGGAAGGTCCTTGGACAAGCAGCGCGACGATGAACTGGACGAGGAGGATGTCTACGACGTGAATGCCCCGCTCGACGAAGAGGATGTCAGCAATAACGAAATACCTATGCCCGGCTGCCATATGAAAATCTACAACGACGAGCACAAGATAGCCGACGACGTAAAGATTGGTGATCCGCTGACCATTGTCATCAGCATCGATAGACAGCAGATCTATGGTCTCCACGTTACCGACTGCATCGTGCGTGACGGCTTGGGTTGGGGAGAACAGCGACTGGTGGGAGAGGATGGGTAAGTGTAAAGGAAAATATATCGAGTAAAAAATGTTCTCACCCACATCTTGTTTGATCGTGCAGCTGTCCCATGGACAATGAGATCATGGGACAATTTAACTACACACAGGATCGTTTGGCCGCTAATGTGACCTTCCCAGCCCACAAGTTCCCATACACCACTTCCGTCTACTATCAGTGCAATGTGCGGCTCTGTGCGCTGGAAGATCCGACCTGCCAGGAGGCGCCTCTGTGCAGTGGCAAGCGACCAAAGCGTCAGACTGCTGTCGATAGCAAGGACGAGGAAGGCTTACCAGCCACTATCGAGGTATTCTCCGGCCTCTACGTCAACGAGAACGAGAATGCCAATGACAGCGACGATGATGCGGTCTACAAGGAGAAGGTAAGACCACTCATAATACGATCTCCACCATTTCTGAACCCTCATATCAATTATAGACTCTGGAGGACGCTCTGTGTGTGTCGCAGCGCACCTTTGCCATAGCCATTGCCATTGCGGGCCTCATTTTGATGCTGGCCGTAGTCGCAGCAGTGCTGTGCATCATGGCACGCCGCAGCACGAAGACGGTATCCAACTCCGGCAGCTCAATCTACAGTGGACCCTACACGAACACCGCCTTCTCGCACAGTAGTTAAACGCAGGCCGGGTCCCCCCTCAATGTGAAAATTCAAAATTCAACCTATCCAAAATTATGCAAATGGAACACTCAAAGTGTTTAAAATCAGTTATCAGGATGAGATTCTGTCGCGCAGGGTGCCGCTGCGGTAGTCAACGTCAACTCCGTCGAAGCAAGAATGGGAGCAAATTAGTCTGTAAGGTCACAGGAGCAAGCGGTCCTTAGGTTAAGCGTAGTCATAGGTTTGCAAAATGTTTGTGCAGAGATTACCGGGCAATGGCTATTGCCCTTTAATGTCGCAGAGTTCTTCGCGTCGCATCGGTCACAGATGGAGCGGGAACTCTGTTCCGCACAGTCGGTGTTGGACTCGCCCTTCTTTGAGAGACTCCACTTTAAGCAGTGGTGCAGTCATTAGCGTGTTTCTTGACATCTCATCCCTCTTTCACACTTATTATGCTTACCCTACCTACTACTATAATTTAAACACTCGAACTAACAACGAATGCAGCAGCCGACGCTCAGGTGATATTTGTACTCGTATCTACTTAATACTTTTAACTGCTACACGTAATTTATTAATTTATCGGATCGGATGGGTTGCCTTCCTGCCAAAGGTCCACCAGAAGCACAAGCAAATCCACACATCACGTTCTTAGTTGAATTTCCTGAACAACTTCTTGTCATTGTTTAACTTAAACTACTGCACTACACTCTGGACTAGGGCAGCAGCAGCAGCCCTTATTAGAATGCAGCCGTCCCAAGCAGAAATCTACTAGTATACTTAAATTACAATAAATATCTTTTAACCATTCTCAAAGTAAGCTTAGGACTTTGTACTGCTTCAAATGGAGCATTCCGAATGCAATGCCGATGGAATGCTCTTCTGGAGCCGTTCAATTTACGCGTACGCATAGAAATGGCAACCAATTTAAATCTTAAACTGCGTAGTTTACAACTAAGTTAATATAAATCGTATTGAACAATAAACTCAAATTGACCATAAACAATTGTAATCATCAAGTGTCAGCTTTTGTTGTCCATGTCACTCTTATTCAGGGACACTCACTGGAGACCAGAGTAGTCTCTGCTGCTGCTAGAAGTCAGTGCAACTTTGTGTGTGAACTGTGGTGGGTGTCCCCAATGATTATTACTATTATATTCCTGTTGCTACAACTGCTGGCGAGTCTGTCAATGGGATCTTTGAATTGTCCCACTGACGAAGCGATTCCACCGCAGTTTCATTTGGTGCGAGAGTGTCAACGGGCTTCAGCAGATGATGCACTATCTCTAGAAAACACATCTTCCTTCGAGGACTGCGCCAACTTGGCCCGGGAATTGCACGGACTGGCCCTAAACTACGCTCCAGGAGGTCCAACACGACACAGGAATAGGTTTATTCAGTCGAATCATGGCAGTCATGGCAGAAACTTGCGCAGTCGATTGACGGTATTTGAACAGCCCGCAGAGTTCTTCAACTGCCATGTACTGCAGTGCCCGCAGAATAGCACCTTTGGGGGTATGGTTAATGACAGCCGCTTCGACTACTACAGCTTGCATGGCAGACCAACAACTCTGCGGAACTATAGCTGTGTGCCAGAAGTCGGCTTATTTTTGGTGTACACCAATCCCAGCAGTTATCTGAATGCATCCTTGGAGTGTAGCAATTCCAGTGAGTTCTCCGGGAGCCTGGCGCACATTGCCTCCGAATCCCGGACGCGGGCCTTGTCACAATGGCTGATGGACTTCAACAGGAAGTCGCGCCCAGTCCTGGAAGCAAAGCCTATGCCAATGATTTTTCTGGCCTATGTGGGACTTGCGTTTAATCGCACGACCTCCCTCAACGCTCATGATTTTCGTAATGCTCAGCACGAGAGCTTGATGTGTTTTCTTTACAGGGCATGGGATGTTGGTCAGCCAGCTCTTGGGTAAGTATAGACAACGGTTACAGTAGACTCCAGCAATTTGTTCTTCCACAATTACAGGCAACAGAAGGCCAACGAGAGTTGCGTTGCATTGACGCCGCAGGGCACCTGGCATGCACTCAGCTGCGAACGCGAGCTACCTTTTATTTGCGAAATATTTACTGCGAGTCCAAGGAGCTGGAAGCATGAGGCTGAACTGGATATCGGCCCGAATTCTGTGGCAGAGTGTCGTAATGATTGAGTCTGTGGTGCAACACTGTTATTCGCAGCCGTTTTATTCACTTAAGCCGTTTTGAAAACACAAAAGCCAAATGTATTAGTATTATGTAGTGTCAGCCCACCATCCGCACTCTATCGAACGTGAATCGCAATGTTTGAAGGTTGTAAAACAAATACAGTGAACACCATCGCAGCTGGAGCTGAAGTCCTCCGGGTTTAGTGGTACTTGTAGTTCCTGTGGTGCTTCAATTTGGTGTAGTTGATCATATAGAAGAACGTCATGCTGGCCACGGTCAGCTGGAAAAAGGGTGCAATGCCAGCACGCTTGGGAAAAACGTACTTATGCTGCCAGCGCCACCAGGCACGGCTGACGGCACCAACCATTGCGTTGGGGGTCTTGTTGCGGCGACCGAACCAGGAGCCCAACTCGCCCAATTTCACCTGTCCGAATGGGACATCAGCTGCAAGTAAAGATAGTTAATTATGTAAATTACTCTGAATCTCTCATATCCGTGTCAATGTGCTCTGCTCGCACTTGCCTGCCGTGCCGCAAGAATCTTGCGCTGAAAATTACGTAACTTTGAAAAATTGCTTACCTTTGCCATAAAAGCGGGCAGGGTCGTATGGACCATGCACCTTGGGGTTGTATTCAGCTGGATAGTCACCGAAAGCCATCTCGCTGTGTTAAAAAAAATATATTTTATATTTTTCTTATGAAACGAAAAATGATGGCCTGCTACTCACAAGTGTGACAATCGAAATGTAGGGATGTAATCGATATTACGACTGTGTTGTACTTTTCATCACTAGAACTAGATCACTCTTTGAGTTCAGATTATATTTTCTGGCTTGTTAGCAGTGCTGCCAACTTTTTTACAGAAAAAGCTGACAGCAGAAAAAAAACGAAAGATTAGCTGAAAACTTACAACAAAATCCATAAAAAGCTCAAGTATTGGTGTTAGAAATTTTGAATTAAAGTGACATTTAATATGTATTTTATATTATTTTCATTAACTCATCCGCATTTGGTCTTCAAAAAAAGCCAGATCTGACGGGAAAAAGCGCCATCGGCAGCACTGTTTGTTAGTTAAATATTTTTATCGTTGAACAGTGAAAAAACTAAAAAGATGGACTAATAAATTATTTATCTAACATTAAACACATTTAAAATTATTCGTTATCGATGGCAATTGAACCACTGTTCGATTCACTTCATCGAACTAGTTCGGTCAGGAACCACGCAACTCCAGTATATACAGAAATCAAATACGATTTTTTTTTGCATCCAGCCTGAAATTCAAATCAGAAACCAAGTAAATAAATATTAAAAGGAACAATAAATAATGAAAATGGAAGATCTCTTGACGAAGGGTTCGTCGTCGCCGCAGGAGGAAGACGACGAAGATGAGAAGGCGGAGCTGAAGGCAAAAGTCGCAATTGCCTCTGATGAGGGGGTGGAGAACGCTGAGGATGCTGTGGAGGAGTGCGCTGAAAAGGAAAGCGCGGGTGGAAAGAAGAAAGGCACGCGCAAAAAACGCTCCCTCAACTGGGAAGAAGCGGAGAGGGGACTGCTGCTGGAGGTTATCAAATCAAAAGTGGCGTTCGTTGAGAACCGTAGTGTGGATGCCAAGAGTATCAAAGCCAAGCGTCTGGCCTGGTCCCAAATCACCAAACAGTAAGTGTAGATTGCGCAACACAAATGTGTATTACTGTACATATACTAAGGGACATTTCCATTGCAGATTTAATGCGTTGAACTTTCGGCATCGACTGCTCGAGCAAATTCAGGTGCAATGGCGCAGCATGAAGAACTCGGCGAAGCGCGAGCATCAGCAAAAGCATCCCAAGTCCGATCCCCTGGAGGGCATGCGTATGATTGAGTTTATGGAGGAGCTGCAAAAGGATCCGGTAACCGCGCGGAGCCAAACCCGCGGGGTCAACACCAATGGCGCCACCGTAAGCACACTCAAGAAGGAACTACTCGATATTGACGAAGATGAGGATATGCCGCTGGCCGCCTTGCCAAACTCGACGAATGCCAGTGAGGACACGTTGCAGACATCCACCATGGCCATACCATCGCCACCCCCCTCCACCGCTGGCGGTGATGGGGACTCGCAGCAAGAGAGCGCTCCTTCACAGCCGCCCACTCAACGTCGCAAGCGTGCCAAACCCAAGTCAACGGTTAATAAAAATGATTCCGGGGATATGGGAGAGGACAACGAAAAGGTAGCTCCAGTGCGAAAGCGGCGACAGCGCAATGTAAGTTGGAGGATTGTCCAAGCAGCTATGAACACGAGCAATGCTAATAACGAATCGTCTTCCCCGGGACAGCTCTCGCAGGCTCAGTCAATAATATCAGATGAAAATGAAGCGTCCACAACCGTTGCGCCTAGCACAACGCCCCAGCAGTTCTCGTCGGCGGCAACAACGGTTCCCGAAACGAATAGCCCGCCAGCCGCCCCGCATGACCTCATCAGCAGCACGGATATGGAGCAAAAGTATAAACATGACCTTTTCAAGCTGCTGAAACAGGCCCGTCTGGCCGAGATAGACTATGCACGCCGCGAGCACGAACAGAAGTTGCGCCTAGAGCAGATGGAACAGGAAATAAAAATGGCATACTACCGGCAAGAGCAGGACTTGAAGCTTCGACACATGCGGGAAGAGCACGATATAAGGCTCCGGCAACAGCGACGAGAACACGAGGCGCGTCTTGGTATTTACAGCCTCAAATGCAGCGGACTAAATGGAAGCATACAGGAACAGATGCCCCTGCCCTCAGCGAAATGCAACGCCAAAATGGACTACAATAATGTCCACATGGACGGTGACACTGTCAAGCCATCGACCAGTGCAGAGGGGAAGCTGGCTCTCAGTGCAGCCTGCAATTAGTGGGCGTGGTGGGGGGGTCAGACACACGCTCGCAATACGAATTGCCAGAAATTAGCCTGTAAGTGTATTTAGAGGAAAACATCATCCAATACTTTAAAATTTAGCTTGAAATACGTTTAGCGAAATGTAGCCCGACCAAATCACGGTCAGATGAATGATTTCGAAGACGAATGAATGAATACGAATACTCAAAAACTACACTCAAGATGCCACTCGGGCGCCGCCTGCCACGAAAAATGGACTGTTTTTTTGTGCATTTCGCACCACACACAAATACGAGCATACAGACAATGCATTTTCAATATAGTATTACATATATATTTCTAAAGATTAAGACTCCTCAAAAACATGATCATTTCAAACGCGGTTGTGTCGTACGAAACAAAAATACTCAAACACACTCTGAATAAGTTCCCTATTTGCAAATCTTTAAAACGCATACGACGCCCCAAGTCAGTCAGTATTCTTTATTGCCACTGTATTATTTTTACTTTTTACATTTTTTATTTGTAAGTTTTTTTTTACAAAACTTACAATTTAGACATAGGTACGTGTCGTAATTGTAAATCCCTGTATGTCTGTTCATACATTACCGGAGAATCTTTTATAATTCTTATAATCATAAGTTACTGTACATCGTGTTCTATAGCGCAGTAATGTCCTGTCACTTTGCTTCTGCTTAATAAAAGGCATGATTAAGGCGAGAGCGAAGTAAAGTTAAACTAGATAAAGAAAATACAAATACATAGTGTGTAATCAACTCTTCGAATGTGTTTTAATAGCTTTCAAATCTCTGCCATTATACTCAAAATATCCAAAATTTGTGTATGATGGAGCTTTTTTTTAAATTGTACGTCAGTATATAGGGGAATTTCGAGTCTTTCTTTTAGTTGTTAGTTTTACTTATTATTTACTATTTTTTTAGAATCGTACAGTTTTTTCGTAGTATATAGCAAATTTTTCGCAAAATGAAGAACCTTGACGGAACACTTGACTATATGGAAAATGCACGGTTCAATTATTTATACGCGCCTGAAATTGCCCGTTTGGAAAAGGAAACCAGCTTTAAGCACACCGAACTGACATGTGTCGTGATGATATATCACAAATTTGTGTTGGAGAATGGCGAGCGCGCAAAATTCATGACATTAATGCAGCTCAGTAGCCTTGTTGAAAACGTATTTGGAGTTACTGATCAAACGATTAACGCTAACGTTGTCTCACGGATAAGTTTTGATCCGGACTTCGATCATCCAGACTTTTCCGCCGATCGCCACTGCAATTTGCGGTCATTCATTAAGCTCTTTGACATTTATTTTACCGACGATCTAGAAAAACGTATGGTTTTTTGTTTCTCAGTGAGTAAAATCCAATATGTAAAAGTAAGTGGAGTGGTAATATGACTACGGGATATATCTATAGGTATATGATAGGACTGATTTCAATTCTCTGGATCGAGAGGTTGTCCAGCTCTATGTGGATAAATTCTTCGAAGGCGACGACGAGGATGAGGTTTTTGAGTTGCGTCAAGTAAGACTATTGCTTGACTATATAATTCCCATACCATTTCACGTCTGATATATTCGCAGGACATGGTGGAATTGATTTTCATAAAGTTCGACCAGGATAAGGACACTTTCATATCGGCAGAGGAATATTACGATGTGGTGCGCCAGCAGCCCATGCTGTTGGAGTTCCTTGGTCCCGTGTTTCCCACAACTCGTCAAAAGGACATTGTGGCTCATTGTGCCAATATCATGTCCTGCTATGCTGAAAACGAGGGAAATTATGAATGATTTATGCATTTACATATAACCAAATTAAAGTAATAAAATTTGAGTGTAACAGTTATTTGACTACCTGTCTTAGCTGAAATATAGAGATGGCATGATACAGAACACTAATTGTCCTAGTGTCATAAGACCACTAACCATACAGTATATATGTATATGTGCCAGTCCATACACCGAACATGTCGCAAACGAACTTTTTGGATTAGATCCCGGGTCTTCGACGCTGGCGTTTGTCTACCGCCGTGTAGTTATGAGCCAGCCTGCTTTATCTCATCGGCTTGGACCGGGTAAGTTTCCTTTGCTTCCCCCTTTTCATTTGGTTGGTTCTTCATTTATTTTTGTATTCCTTTCAGCTCTATTGGCCGAGACCCTCTCTGGCCACAATCTGCTATGCCATTTCTATCCGATTTCCCCGTGCCAGACGGAGTCCTATCTAAGAATTATCGAGGCGCATTCGAGACAGACATTCGAGGTTTGATATATTCGCAGGACATGGTGGAATTGATTTTCATTCCTTGGTCCCGTGTTTCCCCCAATTCAACAAAGGGAAATACGTGTCCATATAATAAATAAATAAAATTAAAATAAATAATTAAAAGATTTCAACAATGAATTAAAATACGAAAAAATTTCAAAATTTGCACAAGTACTACTTATATTGCCAGTTTCGAATGCATCATGTGAAAGAATTTTCTCCGAAGTGAACTAATAAAAACAAATACAAGAAATAGATTTAAGAATATAAATGTTTCAAATCTTTTATATGTAAGACAAGGTCTAAGGAAGAACAACGGTTGCGAGAATTTTGAACCGAACACTGAAATGCTGTTTAAATATCCCAGCGACATCGTTAGTGACGATAGTGATAGTGTTAGTGATTAGTATATTATTAAGACTTTATTATTATTAATAAGTCTTATTAAGACTTAAGATTATTAAATGAAATGAATGAGTGCGCACCACTCGTAACCAGTCGATAGTATCGATAGTCGAACTGGAATCGGGTAAGGCTCTTTTACGCGAATGACAACTCTGAGTCCCATTCCATGCACACATACCCTGGGGGAAATGGATGTTATAGAATTGTGAATACGTTTGTCTTCCAAGGCTCAGTAGGTATCAGGATCGACATAAATATATACAAGATACTAATAAGGTACTTGAATATGTCTAAAGAATATCAATTTGAGAAAAGGTCTTAATAAATTACGTTTGATCTTCATATAAAATTAGCGAAATAGGGTGTACAAAGGGCTATACACGCATCACGTCTTCACGTATATATTTCTGACAGTCGTATCGATAAATCCGCGGTTACTATACGGGTCTAAATTTTAGTAAACAAAAATCACAATAATTATGGCCACTGAAGAGCATCAGCGTCTGGCTAACATAGTGAAGAGCTGTCATGAGAGCCTGCGGCAGCTTACGAAGGATCATGGGGCCCAGGTGGCCTGGCAGGAGCACACAAGCCCACAGAATACGAAACGTCTGCTGGAGTACGCCAACGCAATGCGGGAGCTAGCTGGCATATGGGAAAGAAATGACAGCAACATGGAGCTGCAGGCACGCAGCCGCATCAAGTGGGCCATTGACTACATAACCAAGTACTTCTTCACCGAGGGAATATACATGCAAAAGCGCCAGCGGGAACTGAGATTACTAGAATGTTACACCAGCGAGCAGCAGCTGGGTGAAGTGACGTGCGAGTTCTTGGAGGAGCCACCAGACAGGTTGCGGGTACTGGACGTGGGAAGCTGTTTCAATCCCTTTGCCAATTCCCCGCATCTGGAGGTGACAGCAATTGATTTGTGTCCCGCCACCAATGACGTCCTCCAAGCGGATTTCCTGAAAGTTGATGTGTCGCCAGGACTCGCAGAGCCAGATCTTTGCGAGGGCAGCGTGAAGAGTCTGCCTGCCAACCACTACGAGTGTGTTATATTCAGTCTTCTCTTGGAGTACATGCCCAGTGCGGAACAGCGCCTTCTTTGCTGCCGGAAAGCCTACGATCTCCTACGCCCCGAAGGTATACTTGTTCTCATAACGCCCGACTCTCAGCATGTGGGCAAGAACGCGCACTTGATGAAGAACTGGCGCTACTCATTGGCCAAATTGGGCCTCCTCAGGGTACGCTTTGAAAAGTTGCCGCATATCTCCTGCATGGTGTTCCGTAGGGCCATAAGCATAGACCTTTCTCGCCACTGGGCGAGCATTCATCGAGAGGAGGGCATGTGCGAAGCCATAAAAATACCGCAGGACGAAAATTAGATAAGACAAGAGTCTGGCCGGCCATCTGTGTGGTTGTAAATATGTCCACGTCTACTTATTTATGACTTAACTTATCTGTGTTAAATGTGAGTTAATAATAATGGTTGACGATTTATCTATATCGTAAATATTCAAATGCTATTGCTTCTGCAACTGTGTACCAGCTGGCGCTGGTTCCGATTGTGGGAACAGGGACGCGCCGCTCTGACGCTTCTTCATGGCTGTGGAGGCACCCTGCGAGATTTTCATTATATTGGGGGGCAGGGGCTTCTTACGGTCTGCCTCCCATTCGGCGCGATGCAGGCGCTGGCGATGTTTGTACATGTTGGCATTCGAAAAGAACGTCATTGGACAGTTGGGACAGGTGTAGAGGACCTCTCCGGTGTGAGTGGAGGTGTGCTCCTGCAGGAGAAACAGAAGATGGATTAGAAATACGATGATAGAGGACTAATTAGTCGACGTACTCGTAAATCTTGCGGTCGCTTGAAAGCCTTTTCACACATTCCGCACTTGAACTTTCGCTCGCAGAGATGATTGTGGTAAATATGTCGCTTGAGAGCTCTGGAGTTGGTTGAAGTCTTGTTGCAAATGTGACAGCGGTGCTCACCCCCCGGCGGCTCATGCACCGTATTCATGTGCTGCTTAAGGCCGGACAGATGCCGCAGCCAAGTGCCGCAAATCTCGCACTGCACGGGCTCCGGTTTGGGACGGGGCTCGTCGGAATGTTCCAGCTCATGATGCTTTTTGAGATTCGTTTGGGAGCGCAATGTCTTGCCACATTTATCGCACATGATCGCAGTTTCAGGGTCATGCATATAGCGCAAGTGCTCCTTCAGCTTGCGCTCTGTGGGAATTCTGGAACAGTAAAAGAATAAACATTAAGTTTGGGTTTACTTTAAAGTCGTAGTTCTAATCGTAACTAACTTCTTATTGCATTCTGGGCAGGTGAATTTGTAATCGGACTTGGCCACATGCTTGGATACATTGTGATATTCGATAGCTGCCTTGGTGGTAAAGGTTTTCGGGCACTTTTCGCACTGATAAACCCGCTTCTCCTTGGGATCCGTACTGTCGGACGGATTCGTGTGCGATTGCTCGTGTATTTCCAAGGTGCGGGAGTCCTGAAATACTTTTCCACATTGGGAGCACATAAAATGATCGGGGTTTTGATGAACCATGACATGTTCCGCCAATGTTTTACGTATCGTAAACTTCTTTCCGCAGCAGCTGACGTAGCCCGATTCGATGTTGTGCGAGAGGCGGTGATGCCGTCGCATGTCGGCAAAGTTCTGGACCAGGAGATTGCATATTTCGCAGGACAACTTTTTGAAGAACTTGATGATAATTTCATCATACTCATTTTGCTGGAGCTTGCGCCGTTCGATCTCCTCGCGGCTCATGCGGACAGGTGGGACCAAGGGCTTGGGACGCTTTCTGTACTTCTTCGGCTTGACTACGACCCGCTTGGGTATCTCAGCGTAACGCTCTTCTGGCTCAAAGTCCGGCAAACTGTTGTCCGAGTCTTCATCGCTGGTGTCACTGGAGGAGCTGGCGCTGTCTTCCGTTCCCAGCACAGCCTCTGCGGCCACAAAGTCATTGTCATCATCGTCATCTGAGGCCAATTCTTTTTTCAGTCGTTCAGGAGACTCGAGCTTGGGCATAGGTTTCCGGCCACGCCGCGTACTTCTTCTCAGTTGGCGCTTTTTGCTAGATCCGTTTCTTTCGGATGATCCGTTTGAATCATTTAGGAACTCCGCCAGGGGAACGTCTCCATCTGAATCACTACCAAGTGCCTGCTCATTCTTTATCCGACGCTTTGGATTGGTGGGCCAGTCCGAATTTCCACTGGGCCTTTTCGTAGCAGTTTTGTGTCCATCAGTGTCCACCGGGTCCTCTAGAAACTCCAGCTTGGTCAGAGGCTCCAATTCGTTCACCTCCACCTTAACCGCGCTGGGGGCAAAGAAACCCTCGGACAGGGCATCTAGCTCTGCCGCAAGCAGGGGGTTGATGGCCTCTGTCTCGCCACAGAACTCGATTGGAATACTTTTCGAGTCGCTCTGCCGCTGCTGGTGCAGAATGTACACTCGCTCATGGAACTCATTGAAACTGCTCACGTTTTTCCAGCAGTCTCGGCAGATCACCTCCGAATTATTATCCGCAATGGGTAGCTGGGATAGAGGGTTTAAAGATGAGTCTTTATATTGGAATCGGAATCAACTGTCCAGTAACTTACCTCAAAGAACAGGAAATGTTTGTTAATGGTCTCCCTTATGCTGAGACGCATCCCTTCATCGGAAAACAGTCCATAGGAAGCATCGGAGGAACCCAAACAAAGTACACAGGCTGTCATGATGCTATACTACCAAATGCATGCTAATACAATCTTTCTACGAGTCCAGCTCCATTCAGAAATTTGTTTATAAAAATTCTCATAAAATCACGCACTATGGTATTTTTTGGTGAATTATTTGTCAGGTGATAGCGCGTCTTCGGAAACGCAAAATCGATAAAATAAATAAATCGAAATAGGAGTGACAAAAATCAGCTGTGCGCATTTTATTAAAACAAGCGAGCAAAAATTACTAGTTATCCGCATTAATTTAATTAGTATACATTAAAAAATTGTAATGGCTAAACGTAAGAATAAAAGGACCCCAAGGCGGATACATCGTCATCGGCACAAAAACGGACTGTCTTCACCCAAGACCACGCGGATGCTGCTCAACAAGTCGGCCCTAAGAACACAGGTAGATAATTCTCGCGCCGAAACGAGAATCACGGTGAGTGTAGCCATAGAATATTAGAATATATTATTATTAAATTAAATGCATAGTTTGTTGTACGAGACGCGAATCGCGATTAACCCGCTTATCCCGCGTATGTTGAGTGTTGTGTTGTGTTGTTGTGGTACCTTTGTCAGTGCGCAATCGCCGTAACCAAGCAGCACCGAAAAACTTAAGTACAGACAAAAATTGAGCAAGTTCCAGAAAAACCTTGACACGAATTAGACCATCGCAGACAAGCAAATCGAAGGCAGAAAAAGTCGTTATCAAATCCAAGTTGCCAAAAGCAGTTACCAAAACCCACCAAAAATCAGCGAAAAATGGAAGAGATCTGGAAGAAAGTCTGCAGCCACTACGATGTGCCCGAGCAGGTGGCCAATGAGTGGTTCACTCGCATCCAGGAGCATCTGAGTGACGACAGTCCCTCGCGGGCCTACCACAACTGGAACCAGATGATGCAGCGCAAGGAGTCGCACCTGGCCGAGTGCACCAATCCGAACATTGTGCTGGCTGCATTCTTTCAGTATTACCACTTTGATGGCAACCGCAGCTGTGTAGAGGAAAACTGCGAGGTATTCCAGGAGTTCTGCAAGGAAGCCACCATCGAAGATGTGAGTAAGAGTCCGACATCATTTGACGATGGGCTATAGCTTGAGTGTTGCTGCGTGTCTTAAACAGGATGATACCAAGAGTCTGGTGTGCAACCTGTTGGGACGCAAAACTCCCGAGAACGAAGTGCACTGGTGCCACGACGATGAAGCCAATTTGTTGCAGGATGTGGATTTGGTGGTGCTGGCGTAAGTATTTTTCCCTTCCCCGAAACGAAACGAAACGAATTTGTTGCTTATTTGCTCCACCGTCTGATGATCCACAAGCTCCTCACCGGAGGAGTACAAGCACTATACAACGCTTCTGCGTTCCGAATACGCAAATCTCGATGATGCGACATACAAGGCCATGCGCATTAAGGTTCTGGAGACACTATTGCTTATACCATCAATATATGCAACTGGGGAGTACCACGACAAGTACGAGGAGCAGGCCCGTGCCAATATACGCAGCGAGATACTCGAGTTGAAGAAGTAAGGCGTTTGCGCGACTTGCTCAGATTTAGATTCCAAAGGGCTCTTTATTTGCTGCTTAGCTGTGTACTTAATTGCTGTTTATACCTCATTCGAAATGCATGAAATTACTACACAACCAAGACTGCTCGAAGGACAGAGGTTCCTTGACAGATTGGGACGTCTTTTTTTAACAGTCCCATGCATGGACTCTAGATAAATTGTAACTTAATTCTGAACTGAATTCAAGTTTAATCAAAATTTGTCTACTAGTTCGATTTTATGCCAATCTATACGTAAGCCCTTTTAATATAATTACTACCATATTCCCACAATAAACATGATAAATATGTATATCAAAAACTATTCAAAAGCACGCCGTTTTACTAAAAGCACATTTTGAGAACTTAAATTTGAAAACCTCTTGGGTGAGGGGCACACAGTAAGTAGGAAAAGTAACACTGGATTACTTTTCTTTTTTTTCTTTTATCAAAACTGAGCTTGAAATTTTTCATAATTTGCATTCCCTTTCACCAGGCTCATCAAACACAGCAAATTACAGAAGCCGCCAGCGACAGAACCGCAATCCCGCCAGTAGGTAACTTTACAGAGCGTTCTGCGATGCCATCAGCAGACCAAACTGCTCGATTCAAGAAGTTCACAGATGATCGGAGCAGGGTGAGACGGTGGATGGAAGCTTTGAGGAAGTATTGCATTTTGATTATTTCAGAACTCTCCCAAGCGCTTACAGCCGAACGCACAAAAGAAAAAGAAGAAAATGGATCGCAAATACATCCAGAAGCTGCTGAGCTCGATCAAGAAGAAATACCGGATGAACAAAGGTCCGCACTTTAAGCGCAGGTTGGAGTTTCGAAACGATCCGCCGGCTGAGGCAGTATTGCCCAAGCCCAAGTTTTATAGACCCCCGAAGGTAAGGTTGAGATTGTGTTGGGACTTTGACCACTTATTCACATGCAACTCAGGCGAATGGGAGCTCAACTCCAAATCAAAATGATACCATTGAGGATGGAGAAATAGTTGAGGGACTAGAAATCACCGATGATGATGATGACTGCGTGCTACTGGAGCCCCCAACGGCCTTCATAAACATCGATGATGATGAGAGTGATGACGAGCCCTCTACCAGTGACAGAAGCTTCAAGGCTTGCAAGCGTCGTGCTGAATTGCTCGCCTCATCACCTCAAATACTGTTCGAAGACTGCCATCGCCAGACAGCGCTTTTAAGGACATCGAAACCAACAAACCAACTGCTTTATTCCACCATGGCCAAGAAGGCCGTGCCAGAGGCTTCCTACATCGTCTCAGACGATAGCTTCGAAATGGCCAGGCCGAAGACAAGCCTAACACATGCCGATTCTGTCATTGTTATCGATGACACTATTACGGAGGAAGACTTCATTCCGTTGCCACCCGATGATCCAATACGGAAAAGCTCTAAAACGAAGGGAAAGAAGCGGAGTAGCAAGCGAATGAACGACAGCCTGTTCACCTCTGCGGAAAAGAAAGAGCTTGGTAAGTACAATAGGAACACCTTCAACCCCTCAGAGGAATTGGAAGAGACTGACAACGAGCCGAAATCAAACAAGAGAGCGGTTATAATCGATGGCAGCAATGTGGCCTTCGCGTGAGTGTTTCGCTACGACACACACGTGTATGTATGCTAAAGAATCCATTTTCAATACCCTCACAGACATGGAAATTCCAACATATTCTCCTCGGAGGGCATCAAATATTGCCTGCAGTATTTCGATAAAATGGGCCATAATGCCAAGGCTGTGATACCGACGTTCCGCAAAAATGCGACCAAATCCTCAAATCCCGAACTTCTGGATAAGCTGCACAAAGAGGGTAAGATCGTATTTACTCCATGCAAGAACTTGCCTGGTAAAATGTCCATCAGCTACGATGATCGGTAAGCTGTAGATTGATTTTGTATTTCCCATTAAATCTCCATTAAAATACTTGGTTTCCTATCCTTCAGCTTCATATTGCAGCTGGCGTACGAGTGGAATGCAGCTGTGGTGTCGAATGATAACTACAGGGATCTGATAAATGAGAATCCAGCATTCAAGAAGATTGTGGAGACTCGCGTTCTTGGCTATTCTTGGTGCGACAACATATTCATACTCCCAAAGGATCCGTATGGACGCTGGGGACCGACACTTGATGAAATACTAAAATGTTAAATCCTTTCTTATATGTATTTAAATTCGTTCAGTTTAGTTAAATAAGTTATCTCATTGAAGCTATTTACATTTCATGTCTCGTTGGCATTTCTGTGGCTCCATCTTTTCTTTTTTGAATCCCATCAAGAAATGAAAAGTTGAAAAATCATCAGGGATACGTTTATTTCAGCATTTAGTAAATTGCTTAATCAAAAATTAAAGAAACTTTTATTCATACATAAGAATTACTCTTAAAATTTCTTGTATATATGTATAAGCGTGTATATTTAAGTATGGAATACAATTTATTATTTCGGAATCGAAAGTTTTTGTTACAACACCGGTGGCTGACCGTTCACCAGGAACGTTGTGGTGGTTGTCGTCGTGGTGGTGGCGAGAGTTCCCGACTCGTAGACTGGCGGTGGCTCGTTGATGCCCACCTCCAGGTTGGTGGCAATGGTCAGTGTGGAGGCTGCATTGCTGACTCCTTGCTTCTGTTCGCAGTATGCTGCCTCATCGTAGCTGGGCGGCAGATCCAAAGTCTTTGGCAGCACAGTAATCTGGTCGTTCTGGTCACCTACACTGACGCTGCTGATGCCAGCGGCACAGCTGGAACTGCCATTGCAATTGTTGTTCGTCACACTGATTTCCATCTCACGACGGGCTGAAGGAAGAGAAGGAAGCGAGTTCAAAACCACATTTAAATTTACACTTGCCGCCAAAGCTCTTTGTTAAGAAGCTTTCAGCTGTAAAAACGATAGCTTTCGCTGTTAAAACGCTATATTCAAGGTGTTAACCTAACATGGCATATCGCTGTTACGTCAGCTGACTCTGCTGTGACGTCACCCGAGCAGCTGGCGCTTGGCCGCGTTTCTAAATAATTTCATTGCTTCTATAAAGTTTCTGCTTGTTGTTTACGTACGCGGCTGCAATACCAGCGGTGCCACCTAAAGCGCACAAAATCTAGTAAGTGAAACTGTTTGCACAAGTTCGAACCTTTCGATCGGCTCACCTTCATTCACGTTTATATAATACGCGTTGGCGCCTCGCACAAGGTGAAAGTTAAGGTGCATGTGGCATACAGAAATCGAGAGATATGTAAATGAAAATGTTTGCTCTGTGCTGTTTGAAAGATGCAACAGGTTTAAGCGCACCAATTTGAGCTATCAGAGGGCCGCCACGAAAGTGTTCCAGTACAAAGTGCAAAGGCTGAAACTAATGAATGAACTCTGACCCTGACTCATTCGCAAAACTAATTTCGGGGTAATTTGAAGTGAAAGCCCTCCCCAGAGCACAGTTCAGGGGCTAATCGGCAGTGACAACCTGTTGGCTTCACACCTGAGTGGCTTCTCCCGCGCTGGCATTCCAACAACCGAGACACCACACAAATTTTAACACTTTCTTCTTCACATTCCACAGCACAGAAGCCGCTGCCATAGATGTCGTTGCGTCGCGTTCTGGGCTATGGCGCCTTGGGCGCTGGACTGGTCAGCACCGGCCTCAGTCTCCACACAAACGACTACGACCCGAACTCCCTAGGGATTGTGCGGCTGTCGCGCTCCGCTGCTGCCGTCGTGGATGTGGCTCTGACATACAAGCGAGAGCTCTACTACAGGGAATGGGACAAAGAGACGCCCGAATACAAGGCTGAGAAGAGTCGGGTGCACAAGATAGCGGCCGAGAAGCTGCTGAAGCTGATATGCACCAATAAGGGGGTGTACATCAAGGTCGGGCAGCACATAGGTGCCCTGGAGTATCTGCTGCCCAAGGAGTTTGTGCAGACAATGAAGGTGCTGCACTCGGATGCGCCACAGAATCCAATCGAGGACCTGTACAAGGTTATCCGACAGGACCTGAAGTGCAATCCGGAGGATATATTCGATAGCTTTGAGCGGGAACCGCTTGGCACCGCCTCCCTAGCCCAGGTGCACAAGGCTCGCCTGAAGACCGGTGAGATAGTGGCTGTCAAGGTGCAGCATCCGTATGTGAAGGGCAACTCCCGCGTGGATATGAAAACGATGGAGCTGGCGGTCAATGTGCTATCCAGAATATTCCCCGACTTTAAGATCCACTGGCTGGTGGAGGAATCCAAGAAGAACCTGCCCGTCGAGCTGGACTTTCTCAACGAGGGCCGCAACGCCGAGAAGGTTGCCAAGCATTTTGAGAAGTACAGCTGGCTGCGCGTGCCCAAGATCTACTGGCATCTGAGCTCTACCCGTGTCCTGGTCATGGAGTATCTGGAGGGTGGCCATGTCACGGACCTCTCCTACATTAAGAGAAACAAAATCGACGCTTTTGCGGTTTCCAATCGCATCGGCCAGCTGTACTCGGAGATGATCTTCAAGACGGGCTTTGTACACAGTGATCCGCATCCGGGAAACATTCTGGTGCGGCGCACACCTCAGCACAATGTAGAGATCATCCTGCTGGACCACGGGCTGTACGCTAACTTGACGGACAAGTTCCGCTACGATTACTCCAAGCTCTGGCTAAGCATACTCAATGTGGACCGCAAGGCCATGCGGTTTCACAGCGAGCAGTTAGGAATCAAGGGGGATCTGTACGGACTGTTTGCCTGCATGGTGACAGGCCGTCCCTGGGAGACGGTCATGCAGGGCATCACCAAAGTCAAATATTCCAAAGAGGAGGTGAGTTTATCCAAATTTTCTCTCCCGAACTCTAATGTTGATGATTTTTATCTCCATTTGCAGAAGAACACCCTTCAAAGCAACACGTCCATGGTGCTACCTCACATTTCGGATGTCCTGGAGCAAGTCGATCGCCAGATGCTGCTCATCCTGAAGACGAACGATTTGATTCGGGGCATTGAATCGACGTTGCGCACACAGAACCGCATGACCGCTTTCTGGGTCATGTCCAAGTTCTGTGTCCAATCCTCGTATGCCGAGCAGAGGACCCGGCTGGCCAACTCCCGTTCGCGTGCCCTATGGCTGCAGCTGCGCGAGCGCTGGGAGCTGCTCAAGCTGAACTGTTACTACCTCTACCTGGGACTGATTAACTTTGGTTTCCTCGAAGCACTCAAGCAGGTCATATAGCACTATCTGAATTAAAAGTACAAAACTGGTGACAAATTACCTCGCTGTCTCTGCAGAGCCAGGGCCCGGACTTGCGCCTCCCGCTTGCGTTTCAAGGCACTCTAGGGGGATGGGAGTAAGCGGAGGGTTAGCAGGAGCAGATCCCAAATCGATCTCAGCTTACCATAATCACAACAAGCGGTAGAAGGAAGATGAACAGAAACACCAGGGTCATATACATCACATAGTTAGGATAGTAGTACACGTAGGGACCTTCCCACGTAGCGGTATATCCGCCACCATTGCTGGCCCACCCAGCAGGAGTTGGGCTCACAGTGGCATTACTAATCGACGTAGTAGTGGTCGTCAAATTCGCAATTGTGCTTGTAATAGAGCTAACCGTACTGTTTAAAGCAGGGGCCATATTCCACTCGATATAATTTCTTGTCTATCTATCTATCTATTATTTTGCGTAACACTAATCGAAGTGTATCAATTGCTTCAAAGGCGACGCGGCGGAGCTCGATCGAACTGACTAACTAGACTGGCCCAAATTGATGGCCCCAACCGGGCATGGGTCAGACCTGCGCACACCCGCCGCACACCCGCACATATTTGCTTTGTAATCATTAGCTGATAAGGTGACAAAGGTAGCAACCCGAGCCAGGGGCTTACTTACGGCTGGTTGTGATTTCTGCTCTGTTTTCCGTTTTGTTTCGTGGCTGGCAATTTATCTAATGAGGCGATATGATAAATGTGCGCAAATAGATATATATCTGTACATGGACAACCGTTTATGCGCGTATGTGTGAAACACTATTGTATGTACATATATATTAAGAATATATTTCATGATTTATGGCGAGCGGGCACTCTTCTCGGGCACCAGTTCAGTGGCCCAACTCTGGCAAATATTTATGTTTGTTTTCAAGAACAACCATCCCACAACCCACTTACCTGGCTCATCCTTGAGGCGCTGCGACATCGTATAGGAGCGAAAGGTTATCATCAGCACCTGCAAAAGATACTTGATAGTTGGGTCAACCAGGAGCAGCAGTGGATGGACTGTAGTGTCCACTTACACGCAGCAGGAAGATCAGGAGGCCAAGGAGGCAGAGGGTGAGAAGCATAGCCCCAAGATTATCCATTATAGCCAAATCAGTTAACACTCGGTTGCTTTACTGGCTAGTTTTCTGTCTGCCGGATGAGTGCTCCGTGATTCACACTAAAGCCTTTGGCATATGTCAAGGCTCAAGATAAGATATGGCCCGAACCGAACTTGATTACATTTTAAGCGTTTGATCGACTTTTTAGCGGCATTGTCTTGCGGCCGTGACTCCCCTAACTCTAACTCTGGCAACGTCACGTAGAATCGCGATGCGAATCGTTGAAGAACTGATTTCCAAATGGCCAACACACAGATTGTACTCATCGTGTTATCATCGCCAGATTGCTCTTTTATTCTTGTGCGCCGTGCCTTTGTTTATCTCATGCCGGAGCAAAAGCCCACAAAGAGATGACGACGATAGGCGGTCTGACATTTGTTACAGGTTAATTAAAGCCAGTGGCCGCTTGTTTGGAATTCCGGCCAAAACGCTGAACTCTTCCTTTGGACAACCCCTGACCCCGGGACAAATATTGAGACTTCATTGCATTTCATTTTCCAACATATATATTTCGAATGGGTTTACTTTGATTTGAAATCAATTGAACGAATAATAAAAAGCATCACACGAAAATTCTTAAATACTTAAAGACTACCAACATCAAGTTTTTGCATATGTATCTCTACACAGATCTGCATACATATGTATGTATATATTTTATTGAATTAACAAAGAGTTTTTGTTTTTGGTTTGTCCATTATTATTTTTATGCAATGCATTCTCTCATAATGTTGAAATTGGCACAATTGATATACTATATATTTATTCATTTACTGATAATAAATAAATCATTTCCATTATCCACTGTTTTTTTTTTTTTTAATTTACGGCAATATAATTTTACTTGTTTGCTATACATCTATTTAGTTTTCGTATCATCTGCGCACACAGTATGCATAAACATCTATATATACATATATATGTATATATATGTATCTATATATATGTATGTCCATATACATCATGTATGCCATTAATTTTATTGGTATACGTTTTTACTGTCGGCATGTCCGAACTTAATTGAAATCAAAATAAGAAATTAAATGAAATGCAAACACCCCACGGTGTCCATGCGCATACAATTGGCAGGCACTGTAAAAGGTGTCAGTGGAAATGAAAGGTTTTTGTTCATTTTTCGACATTTAATTAGCTGTGGCGTTCGATTTCGATTGCGTTTCCTGTTCAAATATGGGAACGAAACTCTTATTATTTATTTATGTAGGTAGAAATTATATATACATGTGTGGGTGTATGGATAAGGAAATGGTTGGTTGCATATGCAATCTGAATCGCTCTGCCATAAAAAAATCACACACTCTGAATTTTAATTTTAATTTTTATGCACATATATTCAAATGGGAATGTTGTCCAAGCCCCACTCCTGGGCAGGACTCATAAAAAATTCATAGATGTGCTTTGGGCGGCTTTCTAAGTGCCGCCTAGGAGACCTTGCCTCGTCCCCGGAGTCTATCCCACAGAAGGGCAGCCGGGCAGGAGGGGACTTTTGTCAAGTTTTGCACATTTCGGAATCGCTTTTGGCAAAGAGAAAGATTAATCCAAGCTGACATTTTAATTAATTTATCCGACTATTTCTTGTTAATAGTTTTGTGTTGATTTTGCATTTACAACGTAAACTAAAATGTCAAACATATAAGGCCTTAATCAAATAAATACCTACGAATGAATCTCACAGACAAAGAACCAAACCACATTGTACATTTTTGGGGAAAATGTTGCAGAAACACACGACACAAATCAATTTGCATAAGGATGGAACTTTCCAACTTTTGAGATTGAGAGAAAACTTTGCTTTTCACTGCCCTGTAAACGAGCCGAACATGGGGTATATTGAGTGCAGAAAGCAGAAGGAGCTGTCTGCATTAAATGTACGTAAATACGTAACTAAGTATAGCATCTAAGAAATAGGTTGTTCTGTTAACAGGTTGTTATGAGATATACCTGATATACCCTTATATTCCCTTAAATTTAAAGAATTGTTTAAGGCGAAAACTTTCTCTCTAAAGTTCTGATACAAGGGCACGGTACGGTCGAGAGTCTTTCCTCTATGGTCGTGAGGCTGTGTGTTTAATTTGAAATTCAAATTTATGAAACTGCAGTAGAAGCAGAGCAGTGCTTGATTTCCCACTGTCCATATATGTGGCCGGGTGCGGGCGGCCCATTCTGCCACTTCACTCCAAAATTTGTGGCATTTTCTTGATGCTTTAACAATTAGATAGCCTACTTTTTGGGGCGCCACGAGCACACACATACACACATGCATATTTTTTTGGCTCTACTTTTATGTGGTGCCGGATACGAGCATGAATGAAAAAGGAGACTGCAGGAGACGGTGGCAGCTGCTCGGCTGGAATCAAGTTGTTGGCACAATTAGTAGGGGCGTGTCGGTTGGAGGCGAGGAGGGGCGTGTCAGTTGCGGCTTTCATTATCGAAACGTGCCTCATTTCGTCCATGAATGTTGAGCAAAATTAATTGCCGCCAGGCAGGAGAACGGCCCCCTGGCACACCCTCCACTGTCTGATAAGGATGGCCCGAAGTTTTGTTTGAATGATTTCATTAAGATTATTTTTGCCAACAAAGGATCTGGAAAATTATACATAATTTATAATTAGCAGCGACCGAATGCCGTCTGTTTGCTTTCGGGTGCCCTGTTTATGGAGATTCTATTGAAAAGTTTAATTATGATTTTTGTGTATTTTTTAAATGTTGCCAAAAGTTTCGTATGTACATGGGCCATAAATGGGTTCTTCCTGCCTCAGTTTCGAATTAAAATTGAAGTAGGACTCAAAGCCAAAGTGCTGGTCGGTCTGCGAAGCAGGAAGAGAGGGGCAGCCCCGGCGGAAAATGTTGTACAATAAAAGTTTAATGAATTACAATTCACGCTGGGCGGTGGGCGGATGCCGTTGGCGTGGGCTTCGGTTTCGGGTGTGGACTTGCCAGCTGGTAATCCATGGGACAAACAGCGAAAACAGAAAACGAATCAAAAAGCCAAAAGGAAATGAAAATATGTCGACGGAAATGAGCATTGACGCCGTCCGATGACTGTGACCCAGAGTGCTGCACACCCAGACGGCCTTCCGCTCTTGTCTTGGTCAGAATCTCTTCCTTTGGTCAAGTAACATGCGCTGATTTTGCCAACGGAGTGGGCGTGGCTCAGTCTGGGACGGAACGGGGCCATAAGATGCCATTTCATCATTGTCAACAGCCGCAGAACGATCCAGCGGACGAACATCGAACAAACAATAAATATTGTTAACAATTTGTTTGCTCTGGCTGGGGAAATACGAATAGAAAGCCACTGCAAATATTTGCCCACGCCCGGGGCGGCCCAAAGCGGAAATCGTTTCCTCTAAGGAGTCGCACAGAGGCAGAACGAGGCAGAACGAGAGAGCGAGTAAGAGTGGGTAGCCTTGCAAAACCCTTCGGGGCAATAAATTATCATCATCAGCAAATGGCAATGTGGTTCCTCCCCCTGCTACTCCTTTCCCCACCCTCAGCAGACGTTAACAGTTTCCAATTGCCATCCGGCCCTGGCAGTGCTCCCAATCCTCGGGCCTAAACGGGTACGGCGCGGTGCGGTACAGCACGGACTGGTTGCTCCCGTTCTGGCCACGTAGGTAATGCGGCATTAATTAAATCAAGCATCATTAGGCAGTGGAGGGCGGAGGCGGAACTTGTGGGCGTGGCGCGGTTTGGAACTTAATGGGAATTATTGCATTTGGACTTGCAGCTGCACAGTGGTCAGCAGCACTTAAGCTTTGCATACTCAATGGATTGATTGATTATTGTAATGCTGCAGCAATCATTAATTTGTTCTATATTTGTAAACGGCAAGCAAAATAGGTAACGGATAAGTAATAAATGGCTTACTCGCTGTTCGCTCACTGACTGGTTCACTCTCAGTGTAAAATTACAAACGGAATAGGCGAGTAACGGATCCTCTCACTCGATCGTTTTCCGTCTCGCTGCATGTCACTCGCCCGACAGCTCAATGACGGCATTTGGCTGGCTTTCATTGAGCGATTTACGAAACTAACTTTTGCAATCAATTTGTGGCCACTGCCCGTCCGTTAAATCGAAAAAGCACACACAGGCACAAACCCGCCCAGTTCCTGCAGTCGTTGCGTAAAATACCATTTGCTGGAGCTGCTGCCTCTGTCCAAATGCGCATTCGAGTGTGTCTCGGTGTGTGTGTGTAATGTGCTCAATTGGCCATGCGAGAATCTAAGGTAAAATGATTTTTCAATAAAGCGACCCTGCGGCCAGGGCTTGCATAAGTAGCATACAGTCAAAAGCAGACTGCGAGAGGAGAGGGGAGGACAGCTATTTTTCGCCCTTTCGCTGTTTTGGAATCTTCTTTAGTGCATTGTCTCTCCGAACGGAATTTAGTGTGTGTGGGCCTGGCAGCTGGCCAGCAGTGGGAGAAGGAGAGCAAGAACATGAGCAGCCGCTGAGCTCGCGCTGCTGGTGGATGGTTGAACAACGGCGAATGCACTTGGCATACTCTCACACACACAGCCGCACACATCCACAAAGAGGCTCTATCGGAGCCTCTCACACGCAGCAGCCGTGTCGGCCTCGAGGGGCTTAGGCGGTGGAAGGCTCAGTGTGCGGACGAGCAGCCTCTTTATTGCCTCCGCTTGTAGCAGTCATTATTCACTTGCCCAGGGATTTGGCTGCCGCGAGCTCTTTAAATTTAATTTTCTAAATGTAATTCGATTCAAGTTGCTTTCACCGTTGGCCGTTTTTCCAGTTTGCTATTTTGCTATGCCTTTGCCCTCGCTCTTCCACTTTGGACTGTAGGCCGGCGAGAGGAGGGTCAAGCATTCTCAGAAAAAAAAGTGATGAAACACTAACAGAAAGTGCATGTTTTGCATATTGCTTTGAGCCCTCAACAAATATGTGAAAATGTGAAATTTCCTGCAGCCTGTTTTTGCGGGAAAATCAAATTTGCCGTCCTCTCCGCCGTCAGCCCCTGGCGGCTTTCATTTGTTGGCAACAATCGTCCATGAAAACAACAACTAAGCTTGACTAAATGCAATAAACTGACCAAGTACCGACCATTGCCACTGTTGCGGTGGCAGTTCGCAAACCAAATCCGGTACGTGCCACTCCCACAGCCCCAAATGCCCGCTTCCATGCCCCACTGAGCTCTGCCAACTCAGCTGAAATTTCAGCTCTTTCCAATTGTTGTTTCCTTTTTGGGGATACTCGTATACGACTATAAAATGCAATTTGCTCATTTTTGCATAACAGCCAACCATATTTCACTCTCCTCTCGCTTCGAGGGGTCCCCTCAACTCTTCACAATCAGAAATTGTTATTAAAGAACGGATTTAAGCCCCTAGTAGGAGTCGGTAGGGTTCTTGGAAGGATCTCTGGTTACTGTGTGGCAGGTGGCAGTTGGACCAAGCTCTTTGAAAATACCAGATGAAAGGAAGGTTGTCAACGCTTTGACAACCCACCCGTGCATGTGTTCACATGTCAAAGAATGCGCTTATCATACCCGGAATAGCTCTACGAAATTCACAAAATTCCCCCAAAAATACGTCCGCATGCTGGCCCCACTCTCACCTGAATTTACGTAAATGGACGCTCGGTCCCGGCGGCATCCAGCAAACTCAAATCGTTGAATGTTTCACAATTTTGCAACACTTGGCTGCAAGTGGCGTTAATTAAATCAAAATCGATGGCCACACGATGGTGTCCGGACACCCCGACGGGCTCTGGCTCTGGGTGGGCTGCTGGTGTGCCTGGGGATTCGTCCTGGGGCAGGTGGCAGTTCTGCTGGCAGTCCACTGCATAGCACAATGTCTGCTCGGGCCCCTGTCGCAATTGATGTTCCCTGGCAAACAGCATCTGCAGCTCCTCCACGCTGTAGTCGTAGTCCTCGTACTCATCGTCCATCAGCGACTGCTCCGAGTAGCTCTCGTCGTCGTCATCGCAATCAAAGTAGCCGCTCTGTTAACGATGGAGTGAACGAGTGAGTGAATGATTGGCTTACGCTTGTTCCATAAGGATCACCATCCTCCATCTTACCTGACAGTCCAGGCAGCGGCAGTTATCACAGAGGCTGCAACTGAGGCCCAAAATGTCGGCTGCCTCCTGGTACAGTTCGTAACTTGATTTGGCTTGCGTTTGCTCCTTCATGGAACTCTGATGTTGCTGCTGCTTTTGCTGCTCCCCCTGCTGCTGCTGCTCCTGCTGCTGCTGCTCCTGCTGCTCCAGCTGCGGGTAGTTGGTCAGTTTGTTGTTGTCCTCATTATGCATGCTCCAATTGTTCAATTTATTCTGCTGGCGGGCCCCAGCCCCAGTCCCAGCCCCGGTCCCAGTTCCACCTCCGCCTCCAGCTCTGGTTGGGGCTGGTCCAGCTTCCTGACTGTTGCTCTGATTTTTCAAGTGCCTGCCATTGTTGTTCCGCCCTTGCACGCCTGAGTGGCCCACAAATGATGATGCTGTCGACGTGCTGGCCGCTGAGCTGGGCTCCGCCTCATTGCTGTCGAGCATGGTAAATGAAAGTTTATTTAGCTTTTGGTTGACTAAACTAAACGCGCATCAAACGGCTGCAAGTGGAGCGGAAGGAGGCCAACGAATATGAAGTGGGTGTGCGAAGAAGAGCTGTACATTTGCTCGTATGTACATACTGCCAGCTAATGCAAATAAAGTGTGGAGGCTGGCATGGGCCTGAAAATCGCGTGTGTGAGAAACGAAACATATAAAACTTTCAAATACCCCCCGGCCAACACCACTATCCAGGGAGCATTTTCACTTCAGGCCATAATAAATTAATCCCCGGGTTTTTCCAAAGAGAAAACACCTTGGCCGCGGACAAGGAAGCTCCCGACCGGAGGCCATTAAAGAAGACCCCGAGCTCTTATCGGCATTAAAAAAAAAACTGCGGAAAACTGCAAATGCAAATTCTTGTAAAGGAAAAAGTTTTTGAAAAATGTCGCAAGTTATTTTGCAGCACAAGTTGATGGAGTCGTCATTCTTGTCGGCGTCGCGAAAGTTGATGAATGTGCGCTAAAGAATTTCACTAGTGATGTCGCCCTGTAATGAGACTGGCTAAGAGGCACGGGCCCAACACGGGGCGGAGGAGAGAGCATTTTTTCCCTCTGTTGACGTTTACTAATTAAATGTGCACCGGGTACTAATAAATCAAAGAAGAACCGCCCCACCAGGACCACGCCCTCTGAAACTGCAATTAATGAAATTTTCCCGGCCGTGAACGAACTTTGACATCATTATTGCAACAGGGGGGGATAAAGAGAGTCTGTGGCTGTGTGCCACAGGGAAGAGACACAAAGCGGGAGGAGGGCGACGCGCCACGAAAAGTTTTCGGTTCTTGAAAGTCGTGTGAGTGGTGATGGAAGGGCGAACAGGGAATGCAGCTTTGGCGGCAACTTTTCTCTTTTGGGGCCGCTCAAGTGTTGCCGTCTCGCATGCGTGCCCCACCCCCCCCGTAAAATATGATTATTGCACTTCAATATGTACAGTTATGGGAATCCATTGAGGCGTTCTGGGCCGGGGCCGGAGCCGCAGCCGGAACCGGAGACGGGCTGGCATGTTAATCAACTTTTGCGGATGGAGATGGGGGCCCACCACCCCTTAAAGCCGCTTTTGAGCGCCACTGCGTTCATATCGCTTGATGTTTATGGCTACGCGTTAATTTTTCAATTTCGCAAATGGCCGCATAAAAGAGCAGAGCCAGCGTGCAAATGCAGGGTGGCAGCAAGTTTGCTATGCGATGGGGGTCAGAACTTTTGACTTAATGAAGAATGCAGGAAAGTTTCGCTGAAACAAAGTATCTGCCGGACAGATAATTGAATGCAGGCCGGAGCCGGACAGGTCCTAGGAAAGTTCGGTACAGCATTTAGCGGGCCAAATGGCCATAAAGATGGCGCCAAACGGAGACAAGAAATGACCCCAAATGGAGGCCATAAGAAGTACACACAAATAGTGGAGATGACCCTTGATCGGGGCCATGATTAATTGAGAAGTAATCGATAAATAATGATAGTTTCCAGCAGTCTAAATTCTTCATGCCACCCATACATAGTTCCATTTATGTATGGGGCAGGGCAGTAATCGATAACTAACGATATTTTTGTTCATTTCCAATGGAACTTATTTCATTTTTCATCTTTGTGGAGTTAATGAGAAACCACTCTAGCGGCATGTGGCAGCAAACTTCGACGAAAATATCGTTTGTCCAATAAACTAGAAACTCCAAAAAGCTTGCCACGATTTTCAACGCCGCAAGATGCCCTACAACATTTATGAGAATTTATAAGTTTTTGGCCCAGCCAGAAGATGGCCTCACCTACAGACAAACACACACATACATGAATCCATGGCTGTAATACATACCCGATGTCTTCTCCTCCGTCATCCTCCGCTACTGGGGCGGCTGCTGCCGCAGCGCTCCGCCATTTTTCTTCTTCGAGAAATTTGAGAAACTTTGTCTTCTTGGCAATAAGCGTTGATTTGACATTGGTGCATTTCTTCTTGGCCAGCAGCGGCTGGGTGGCTGTGGGGTGGACTGGAGCACCTGCTGGGGGGCATACACCACTTGCACTTGCCACCGCCACCGCTACCGATGTGCTCTCGAGCGTGAATTCGCACAGGCTTCCTCCAGTTGCTGACAGGCAGCCATTGTTATGGACGCTCTCGTGGATAGTGTTGTTGTTGTGGATAGTGTTGTTGTTGTGGATGTTGCTGTGAGTGTGGGTGACATTTTGGCAGGCATTGCCGACACTGCAATTGAACAGTTTTTGCAGGGCCGTTGCTGCCGGTGAACACATTGTGGTTGACATTGATGTAGCGACAGGATTTACGTAGTTTGAAGCGCATCCTCCACCAGTTCCCGTTCTCGCGGCCGTTCTCCCTGCCGCTGTTGTGGCACTGCCAAAAGTTTTGAATTTATGCTGCACACCCACACCCGCAGCACTCGTGGAGCAAGTTGCCTCAATTGGATTCGCTGGCGCTCCTCCCGCTGCTCGGCCCTGGCTGCCATTTATTTCACGCTTTGTTGCCGCATATGTGCCCAAGTCCTGCCAAGGCAAGATAGAGTAGGAGACACGGTTGGACAGTTAGGCGGAGACGCAAAAGAGACAAAGGATCGTGATGCAAGTTTAGGACCCACATGCGGGCTCTACTACGGAAAACTTACCCCATATGCATTATAGCTGGCATTAAGCACATAAATGGAGTTGCACTGATAGACCATGTCGTCCATTGTTTGGGCTAGAGAGAGAGAGAGACAGAGAGGAGGAAAGCATAATAGCGCAAGAGAGAGTGAGATTTTCATAAAATTATGCAAATGTAACAGTCAAATCAAACAGCAGCAGAAGGCGCCTCCATGGTATACCAACAATAAGGTAAGGCAGTTCGAGAGAGCGGACTCTGCTCACGAACTGAACTGCCTTACCTTACTATTAGCATACCTTTGGTGCCTCTATCTCCCATCTCCATCTCCTGCTCGTCTTCGGCTGAGGGAGGGGGAGTAGAGCAAAGTGAAAATTTAATTTAAATTCTTATTGCTGCTGATTGTTCATGTATTGGTGCTTTTATTTATTGCTGCCTTACACATTGAACTTTCAATAAATTTGGTTTCTGCTGCTGCTGCTGCTGCTGCGCCGTCACAGCTCTGCGACAGCTGGCGTCCGGGCAGCGGTTTCTGGGCAGAGGCGGAAAGTGTTGATTTCTGTGAAGGATGATGGATCCCGTCCAGCTCCCGCTGCTGTTGGTGGTGGCAATCCAAGCTACAATTACCACCGCTGTACACGTCCAATTGAAGCGGAAATTTATGCGGCTGCTGGAGCGTGTAAACGTTGACGGAGCGTTTATCCTCGCCACCGCTGCTGCTCTTCTGCCTCCTCCCGCTGCCGGAGCTGAGCCAGCTCGTTAGCCACAGGGATTGGAAATCTTGAAACGAAAAAAAAAGAAAAACATAAGCAAATTGTGCTCCACTTTCTTTTGTGTTTTTTACCCCCAGATTTTGTCCGGTCCACGCACATTCAACTCCAGTTGCGGCGATGCGGAGGCATCGAAGAGAGAACGACTGCCTGGGCCGGCATGATAAAATTTCGTTTGAAAGGCAAGTTCATTGAAATGAACAGCCGCCTGCCGCAGTCCCAACCCGTCCCCCCCCTCCCACCACGTCGCCAACACGCAAAATAATCAAAATAATCCTTTTTTTGTTGGGATGGCTCTGGGCTTAGTTACGGAATCCGGATAGGACCGGACCCCACTATTGCTGGCTTTGGAGAGATTGTTGTTGTTGGGCTTAGTCCGGCGATTGTTTTCAGCTTGCAACAATTTTCACAATTGCGCCCCAATATACGCAATTTAATTATTGTTGCCGGTTGTCGGTTGCCGGGACAATGCGCCCAACGCAACGCATAACCATGAATCATGAAACTGTAATCCCTGGATGAGTGTGAACAATAATTGAAATGAAAATATGGCTCCGCACAATTGAAACGCCTTCTATTATTAGGTGTATGTTTTTAAGAGCTCAAGCTTTTAGCGCAAACGGTTCCGGCAAGGTTTTTCCTGAGAGCAGCGGACTTTGTTCCTCTCAAGGCAGCCTAAGCAATGCAACGCAGCTCCTGGCACGTTTGGAGTGGCCCCATTGGAGGCAGTAGACAAATGAATTGATGGGAAATCTCTCTGCCTCCAATCACCATTCCTTCGCAATTCGATCCTTAGTAGTTTCCCTTGCACTTGTACAGAATGTCCGTATATTTGAACTTCAATTTGTAAGGCGTTTAACATTTGTGTCCTTCTTCCCTGGACTCTTGTTGCTACAGACACACCTATAAATCCTGACGGCCACAGCTCTGGCGACCCCATTCATCAAAGTGTCAAAACAGCTGGTGAGCAAAAATCTTTTGTCATTTCCCAGCAGCCAAGCGGAAAGAGAGTCATGGTAGTGGGCGTCAGGACAAGAAAAAAACTTATGCATACGTGTTGGGAAATCAACAGAAAACAGAAGGAGAGGGGAGAGAAGAGAGAAAGGATTCGGTTCTGTGTTCTCCTTTGTGCTCGCTCGTTGAGCATCTCTAATGAGCGGCAATAAAGCAAATGTGATGGCAGGTGACGGACGCCCACACACACACGCACACATATCAAACAATTTGCACATTATAATTGTTGACACACTGTCCATGTGTGCGTGTGTGTGCGTGTGTGTGTGGAAGGTGCGCTTGTGCGTGCGTGTCATTAGTGGCAATCTGCTGGGAGCCAGAAATCCTGCTTTGATTCCATTTTATTTTTCGCCACCCACCACCCACCACACACCACCCTCCTCGTCTACTCAGGCTAATAATAAAACTTTTATTTATTTTGGGATTTTCGTCAACTGGTCGAAAGGCAAACAAAACAGGCCTACAGCAATAATAATAAGCCCCCAAGTAGAGCGAGGAATGGAGAGGCAGCACCAGAACCCGTGCCAGAACAACAGCCAGAAATGGAAAGCCAACCAGAACCAGTGGAGCATGGCATATTTGTCATAATCAGCGTTTAGGCATTGGCATAAATTTGAATGAGTGCGCAGAGAAAAGCAGAGAGTGGGAGAGTGGGAGAGTGGGAGAGGGACATATTATCCTTATCATATATTAGGCGCAGCACCACTGTCCCACTCCCCCTTCCACTCCCACTCCCACCTTAAAGCCACCAACTCTCCGCCAGAGATGAGCATCACTCCAGCGTTCACTGTCACAGTGACTGGCTCTGGACAATAGTGATTTGATGGGACGGCAAATTACCCGCAGAACAGGCGACTCCCATTACGTATCACAGTTCATGGACAGACCCCGACCTGCGATTGACAGCACTCTCACTCGCACTGCCAATGGGCAATCTCTTTGAGCAAATATTTGACAGAGCATTTTCGAGCACTGCAGGCGGTCGCGGAAAACTGAAAAATCAGGAATGCTGCCAGAGCAGAGTGTGCTGGGGAAGTCGCTATCTGGTCATGTCCATATTTGAGCAAGCCAGGGCGAAAGCGAAGCTTCTGGGCCATAAATTTGATGCGTGCATAAAAAATGTTATTCGATTTCCTTCGACACACATAAATATCTTTGCCTGGGTCACGTACGGCCAGGTGTCGGCCCTGGGTCCGCTCTCTGTTCTTGTCTTGGCCATATGCCCAAAATTCTTGGTAACAGGATGCCTCGAATGTAATGGAATCGAGTCCATAGGCTGCTCAGAGCTGTTTTCGTGTATTCTATGGTTTGTCCTTGTTTTGTTTTGTTAAATATTTATTGCATTTTGTTGATTTTGCAATGCCGAAATTTTGCCAAAACGCTTTCCACATCTCATAGAGGAATATTTTTATATTCCATTGTATTTTTTTGGTATTTTTCCGGTCTGTTTTGTATGCGATTGCATAATAATATCGTTTGCGGAATGGCCCACAATGGCAATAAATTAACATTTTATATGGCATGTTCTACCCTCAGTTGGCGCCTCCACTATACAGTTGGCTAAGCCTTTTATGGCGCGATTACCGAGATGAAACATTTCTGGTATTCCAATAAGCAGTTATTCAAAGCGGTACCGAAGTCATCGCCTCAATCGGGTAAGGATGATGTATGGATCCGAAACCGAGTATCCATGAGAAGTGCCTTATTGAATGTTGCATACTTGATGGCGCAATGGAATCCTTCACCATGTATAATTGGAGAACGAATGCAGAAACCAAATACAACGTTTCACCACTTGTTTATTTATTTTAATTATGAAAAACCTACAGCAAAAGAGCAGGCAAACAAGCAAAACAAATCAAAATGTAAGCTCTTAACGGCAGGATAACCAGGAGGGAAGAACAAGCACCAGCTCTGGTAAGCTCCGAGGCATCTGAAGAGCATACATATTTTACATATATTCAGCTTGTTCTTATTTGTGGACAGCTGGAGAACACTTCAAGTGGGGGAGCACACGAATACATACGAATAACAGGCGAAAGAAGCCGTTAGAGCTAAAGGAATATTCCAATGGCTTCCGCAAAACACACACATGCCCTAAGCAAATGTTTTCTCCTGTCGCGAGAGCGTGTATCCTCCATTATCCGTTTTTGATTGGAGAAACACACAAGAATTTGGCCTAATTAGAGTCGAAATGTCAAAATATTTACCCTGCTTGTGTGATTTGCCCCCGAAACTGGACATCGCAGATATCCATTGGGGAAGAGCAGGCAGGGAAGTGGCCTCAAGGAGACAGTTCTCTTTCAAGTTTGCGGGCGGCACTTGACTTGCAATGAAAAGGCCGCAGCAGAGAATGGAAAAAGAACACGAAAACAGAATCGTGAACAGCAAAGAACAAGGCAGAGAACATTAAATTCAAATGGTGATGGCTGCAAAAGAAAGAAAAAACTGGCTTCAAGTACATGGCCATTTCAGCTTTCTCCTCCTTTTTCAGGCTCCCCTCCCCCTCCCTGTACCAGTGTAAACACATTCGAAATCCAATGGAATAGAGAGAATATAAAGATTTAAATCCCGGTCTTTCCACAGCAGACAAAATGTTTGCCACCAATAACAGAGCCAGCAAGGATCCCAGCAGACGCCTTCACCCAAGGTATACTAATAGTACGGTTAAGGTAGAGTCCGGTCTCCGGGCAGTATATTTTATTGCTCGGTTGCAGTACTGATGTCACTGGAGTATATAAAACCGATTTAGTAATCATACAATTGCAATTAGCTAACTGCCTCGCCTTGCCTTACCTTATTATTATTACACCTTGACCCCACTCAGCTGAGCCAACAGCTTAAGAGAGAGAAATAGAGAGAAATCTGAGTGGGATTGATTTAGCTGTTCTTTGATATTTCCCCTTCAAGCAGAATTCGCAGCGCCGCAGCAGAACTCGAAACAGATTAGCATGCTTACAGATAACTGTATTTGTCCCACGTCCGCCCCTCCTTTCCAGCGGTTCGCTCTCCTCCAGAGCAGTGCAATAATTTCTGGTTAGACTCTCACTAAATGCAAGCAAATTTTGTCATTTGCCGGAGACGTGAGCTGATTGCGTAAGGAGTTTCGGGGATTGGACCGAGACCATAAACGTCTTCGCCTCCTCCCACATTAGTGGGGGCGGGCCGGACTGGATACTGAGACCAACCAGTGATACACAAAAGTTTTCCAACCTGCTAAACTCTCTGAGCAATTTCATTATGCCTACACCACTCGAACACACATACAAGCGTATTACATAAGCATGCATACATATGTACATATATATAACTCTAAGGAGATGCATTAAGTGACAGAACTTTAATTTCTGTGTCTGAAGCCCGACTTCCCTTTAAGGGTCTCGAAGAAGAAGAGAAAAACAAAGACGCAGATCCCAAGCACGTGCCGCCTGCTGCCGCCAAGTCCTTTATAATAAATAGTTGAGTCACTTAAGGGGATTAATGTTGAAATTAGTTTATGCCAATAAGATTAGCCATGACATGCCAAATGCCAACTGAATCTATTTATGCATAGTTGGATTTTCCATTAGCTCCCCGAACGCCCACACCGCACATACCCACAGTACACAGTAATTGGAATAACATTATCATTTTTCTATCATATCAGCGTGCTATCAGGGACTTCCATTTCAATCCCGACAAGGCAACATTTCGACCAAAAATGAAATTCGTTTGCTATTTGATATATGTATACACATGTATAAAATATCTCGAATTAGTCTCTATCCATCATATGCTCTATTTTGCTCTCTTCCGCTCAGAAATGCAAAAGTAAACAGTAAGCAAAGTAAACAAATGGATAATGAAATAGCTGTATATATATGTACATATGTAGGTTTATTTGACTCTCCAAAAATATGTTGGGCAGCGCAGTGTTCGATCCACAAACAGTCTGCCTCTGACGTCTCTCTCTAGCACACAGATTTCTCATTTTGATGACTCCAGAACTAAACTTCC